TAAGTTTTTTTTATAGCCGGATTACGAGCTGAGAGGGCGAATGTAGATGAGACAGTTAACAATAGAACTGGATAAATGAAGGACCACTGGCGAAACCAATCTCAATGTAAGCCATGGACAGCTAGTTCAAGTCGGAAGGTTATTTCTTTGATTGAAAATACTCACTGTGACGGCCTACCTTTACCGTCACACAAAACAAAGAAGTGCGCCATTAAGCTTTTCGTTTTAAATGCCAGATTTCTGCTTAGTAAGACGCCTCTGCTCAAGACTCTGGTTTCGTCAACCGCCCAGTCATTGGTATGGTAACAGGGACATGGGCACCGCCCTGTGTAGCTGACTCCAACCTCTCTATTCTAGGCTATCTCTGCATTCGGGTTGATCCTATCAATGGCCGTGGCGGAGGCAGCTGCGTCTATACTAAGCAACCATTTACATTTATGCCGCTGGACTTTCCAGAATTTACAGCGGTAGAAGAGAGCTGCTGGGTCTGAATTATTTTAAAGTAACGTTACTCCTTCCTCGTTAACTGTGTGTATCACCCACCCAATGCCAGTAGGGAGTAGGAAAATTTGCTTCTCGCAAACATTTTGTGCTGCGGCCGACTAAAATGTTTGGTGGTGCTTGATTGCAAGCGACTTCATTTATCCTGGTGTACAATGGTTTCCACCCTCCGCTCCTTAAATATGGGGATCTAACTTGAGGCCGTAGGTACCGACATGCGGGATTTGACAGTCGAGTTTCCCACCCGAGGAGAAAACATACATGACATACATTTCTGCGGAGGGTGCGAACCCTTCTCAGAGTAAGTTTTAGACACACTTGTGAGGTGAGGCCATCTCACAATTGTTACTACATTGGAACCGGAGGCGGACGAAATGTTTTCCCAAAAATATAGTAATCATGTCATGGCTCCCAATTAGGAAACACGGCGGAATTACCGACACATCTTCATTCCCTTGACTGGCCTGATTTTGTTCGATGTTTGGATGTGAATGTTTGTACTGATACACTGTACACAGTGCTGGGTCCACTCATTTCCAATTTTGTTCCCTGTAAGAAAACAATACATGTAAAGCAAGCAGTCTTCCTTTCTCTTTTTCCTTAATAGTTTTTTAAACTCTCACGTCGTTTGTATCAACGGAAGGACACTTTAATTCTGCCCTTAATCCAACTCACCTTTAAGCACTCTAAGAAGCTCTCCGAAGGAAAGCAGATAGCCGATGAGGTCAACTTTTGTGAACAACCTTCGTTAAATGTTGTTGAACTCTTTTCACGCACATTGGAAGCACAGAGAAAAGCGCAGCGCCCCATACATCGAGACGCCTTATGAAACCACATACTTCACGCTTAGTTGACCGCTGATAGCCTCAATGCGTTCTTATCCAGACATTCAAGTATAAACCTCGGTCGCTGGACTTCCAACCATCCGGACTCGGAACCGTGAGGCGTATGGCGACTGCCACTGCCATCGCAGGTATACTTAATTACAACGGTATCATCGCTGAACTGAAACAGCAAAACATTTTGAATGCATGTGGCCTTTGAATGAACACCAACGGCTAGTAACAATTAGCATCCACGACGCAGAAGTTTAGCACGCAATGCCTAGGATATTAGGTGGCTGTTGTTGTATTCCTCTTTGGTTTAGTGAAAAAAATTACATTTCCGGCAACATCAAGCTGGCAGACGCTAGGTTACCTCTCATTCTCATAAGAGTGACAAATTTAATGTTGTTGAATACTACTAGTAGTAGATTTTCATACAACGTTCCTCCCTTAGGTTTTGTCTGTTCATCTGAATTATTTGATAGAGCTCAAGTCTGTCGTCGAAGTCCGAGCTCTGCAGCGTTCAGGTTTAAATTTCATTCCGGCAGTCGTCGGAGTATTACTTTGACGTTTGTCTGGCCTTAAATTAGGGCGGGGAATCATGCAAAATGCCGAACGCGTTGAAACCTCCTTAATTACTCGCTAACCGACATTAACACAGGGACGAACACTTCAAATAATGATAAGGAACTTTAGGCAATGTTGCTACCTAAAAGAATTTCACAAAAGCACAAATTATTTGTTTATAAAACTAAAATTGTGTTAATAATAGTCAAATTCCACAGATCTAAAAATAATATAAATTATATCGACACATCTAAATCGTATTGTTAGTTGAATGAAAAATTTAGAAATGTTGGATGCCAATTTCCGTTTTTTTAACAAATATTTTAAGATTATCCTTTTGATTCTAGGATCTTTTCTTATATTTTTTTTCAGTTCAGTCATAAATTTAGATTCTTTTCGACGTTTCTAGAAAAGCGCTTAAAATGGGATATCTATTAACATTATTTGCCGAAAGAGATGATAGTTTCGATATTCAGAAAAGTAGTCGAAAAGCATGCGTAGGCTTTCGTTAAATTCTCATCGGGCTATTACATTTATACGGGAAGGGTTTACAAGTTACAAGGTAAACGTGCGGGTAGTTACGTTCATCATGAAAGGCAAGTTATTTATAGGAATAGGGGAGGAGGTTGGACGTTGCTAATATGCGGCTGCTTACGCTGGCTGGGTATTACTTCCCTTGGAGATAGCCATGTGGTCCATATTCAGAAATTCTCTGAAAACACACCAAATTGTTGAGCAAAAAGAACGTCCATAACAGAAGTCTGGAATAATAATTCCGAAGAGTAATAACTATCACTTTAAAATAGGTGAACACATTAAATTGCACTTTATTTACATATTTAATTGACGAATATGTACAGTAGTCGCCACAGACAATGTAATTTTCATAACTTTGTATAAGCCTG